CCCCTAAAACACAGGGAGAACTCAGTCCCAGATCTGCCTTCCCGGGTAACCCACAGGGCCCTACTCTTCCACTCTCCAGGGAAGCTGCTGGTGCCTGGTGCAGGGAGAAGATGGGAATTGTTGGGAGTTGTGTGCCGGTGCTCTCGGAGCCCCAGCCCTGCCCATGAGCTGCAGTTTCCTGCCCCAGCTGGGGGAGCCTCTCCACAGCTCCAGTGCCTTGGCACACCAACCTTGGCCCTGGCCTTTGATCTCTGTCCTTGCCCGTCTGTCTCTTCCACACGACTCGGCACCGGATCACAGCTGGCCGGGCTGCGGCTTCACAGGAGCCCCTCGTCTCCAAAGACCTATTTAATTTTCTCCTTCAAGGTGGTGTTAGCAACACCCAGAAGATGCTGCCGGCTGCCTTGGACGAGTGGGCTGCGTGTCCTTTCCACCACTGACGTCAGCTTCTCTCCCTTAATTCCCCCTCTGGGACCGAAGCGAGTGCAGGCGCTGCCAGCTCGGATCAGCGTTAACAGCCTGCTCTCCCAGTGTGTGGCAGCGCTCCGCCGTGCCAATGTCACCCCCGACTCGCGCTGCTGTCCCTGGCCAAGCAGCCATGGGTGGTGGGAGAGCACTCCCCTCTTCCAGCATCATGGGAAGGGCCCGCTGCCAGCAGAGAGTCCCCGTTCCTCGCACGTAGGTGTGCCGAGATGGCAGCTCAGCCCCTCAGAAATGGCTGACTCCTTCTCTCTCGCTCCTCTTGCTGCCTGGTGGTTTTTTTTCTCTCCTCCTCCCTGCCTTTGCCGTTGCCTACGCGGTTGTGTGGGGAAGGCAATCGGCTCCCGTGCTGCGGATGGCTTTATCTGTAACTCTTCCATCTGCTCACAGCAGCTCACAAATAACCACGGGGTGCCAGAGGAATTATGTTATTTGGAGCTCAAGTTTCTGCAGTCTGGCAGGGCAGCAGCTCTGCGCCGGGCTCAGCCGCTCCGCAAAGGCCAGCGCCGGCATGGCGAGGGCTCGAGGCAGCCTGTGCGGAGCTGGGGATGTGGCCAGGGAGGAATTATCCTCCCCATCCAGTCAGACAAAGCCCCAGCCCTCAGCCAGCATGGGAGCCCGGTCCTCTGGGAGCTTCCCAAGGGGAGCAGAGGGTCCTGCTGGCCCCGGGTCCCTGCACCCCATCCAGGGCTCGTGGCACGAAGCCGCTTCTGCATCAGATGCTGCGGCGGGAACAAAACTGACTGACCCCCTCTCCACCCTGCACTTCTCTGTCTCCCACACAGCACAACCTTTTCAGACAGACTTTCCTCCCTGGGAAGCACCACCCCATGCCTCCCGGAGCCACGGCTGCGGTGGTGGCCCGGGATGATGCTCCGAGGCTGAGCCGCGCCGGGAAATGCCTCCCGCTGCCTCCGGCATTTGGTAAAACGCTTACAGTGGGGCCGTGTTTTCTTCATTTCCTGCCTGCTCCTGCTTCCAAGGAAACAAAATCCCCCAAGCCAGGGCTGAGGTTTCTCATTTAAATGTAACCCAGGCCCATAACTGGAGCTGCCAGCCCTCCCCATGGCCCGGCGGACCCAGGGTGGTGCAGGGAGGATATTGGGGATTGTGATCCCGTCACGGGTGTCCCAGTAAGGCACTGGGACAGAGACCCATCCCTGGGATGAGGTGTGGGCAAGGGCAACACTTGGCTCTGCCCCAGGGAGGGCACTCAGGGTTCAGGATGCTGGTGGGAGGTTTTGGGGTGGCAGCAACCTCCTCCCCTCCTCCCATCTGGTGAAACCGGCACCAGGGCTGGAGTGGAGGCTCCATAGTGGGTGCTTTGGGACCAGCCCTGGCTCTGCCGTGGGTGCTGCCAGCACTCTCACCTGCAAGGTGGCCAAGGGCAGGTCCTTGGAGCCAGATCTGAGCCCTGCTGCTGCCAACAGGACCAGGGCTGCCCACACTGGAGACAGGAAACAAATCCCACCCCAGTCCCCTGCCTGCACTGCAGCATGGGCAGGGCTTGGAGGCAAGAGCTGGCTGTGCTTACGGCATCTGCTGGGAGCCTGGGGAGGGCTGGCCCTGCCAGATGTGTGAGCACAGTTGGGGTGACACCGTGCCCACATCTCTCAGCTCATGTTTTAACCCCAAAGTTGGGCTGTTGGTCCCCCCCGAGCCCCTCCTGCTCATCCCCAGCGTGGGGGTGGCTGCTCAGCACTCAGGCGCCTTCTTGGATGGGTTTGACTCTTTTTTATAGCTCCACTTTCTGCGTCTTTCTCCACCAAAAAAGGGAGCAGGCTGGGCCATGCTGCTGCAGGCTGTACCTCCTTGCTGCCTGCCTGCTCCATCACCCCCCAAAGGCCTGGAGCAACTGGGAATGCCTCTGGACTGGCTGGAGTGCTGGGAGAAGGACCAGCAACAGCAGGCTCGGGGGGTGGTGGCTCCTCCAGCCCTGTACTCAACCTCAGCTTCCCTCATCCATCCTGGCAGCAGGGAATCGGACACAGGTAGGAGGCACAGGGTGTGTTTCCCACGCAGGAAGGGGCACATGGAGCAGCCACGTGCTGGGTGATGGCCACCCTGGTGGCACCAGGGGACAGGGCTGTGAGGGTGACGTTTTCGGGGCACCTGTGGTGGGGGGGAAAAGGACTCAAGGGCTCCAGGACCAACAGCTCCCAAATTGCTGGCCGTGGGGAGAACCCCTTGGCCTGGGTTGTGGTGGCTTTTGTCACTATGGGTCACTCCCAGGACTCAGGAGAAATCAGCCTCCCATCCATCTTGGAAGCCCAGCAGCTCCAGCACAGCCCTGCCAGGATCTGGGAAGGGGGAGCTGCAGCCCTGTGCCCACCCCACTGCTGGCTGTGGGGGGTGGGAGCCTGAGGGGGGTCCCAGCAGACCTGAATGGTGCTGCCTTTGTGCCCTGCACACCCTGGTGTGTCACCCTGTCCCCAGGGAAGGTGACAGGGACCCCGGGGAGTGGGAGGGACTGGATGGGCTTGCACACCACGGAGAAGCTCCCTCTGAAGACATCAGCAGGGGAGGCACGAGGGAGAGAGAGAAGCTGTTTCAGCTGCCATGTGATGTTGACATAAGAACCACCAGGTATGAACTGCTCCTGAACACAGCAGGGCTGGGAATTACAGGATTTTTCACTGCTGGGGGAGGTGGGCTTGGGAATTATCCCCTGGCTGAGGGATGGAGGGCCCTGGGGTACAATGAGCATCTCCAACCCCTGCCTTAACCTCCCTGGGGACAAGCAGAGCCCCAAATTCCCCATCTACAACACTGAGTCCAGCCCTGGGAGAGCGGGAGAGACGATCTGTGGGTCCTTCAGCCTCTCTCCAACCCCATTTCCCCTCATCACTTGCTGCCACAGCCCCTTTCCAGCACAGAGCCGAAGGAAATCTTTATTTCCTTTGCAATAAACAGCACCAACCCCCCGGGCTGCCACCAGGTCCCCGAGCCCAAGGTGAAGTGGAGCCTCGGGGGGGGAACCGACACTCCTCCCCAGCCGGCCCCGGCTGCTCCTCAGCCCCGGGCTCTGCCACATCCCGGCGCGTCTGCGGATGCACAAACGCCTGGGAGAGACCTACTGCTCCCTGACCGGGGTGGGCAGGGACGCGGGGGGCTCTTGGGGGTGCAGAGTCCTGACACCAGAGGGGCTGAGCTGCCCTAATTAGCTGTGCCATCGTTAACCCTTCCTTCCCTGAGCCGAGCAGGAGCACGGGCAGCAAGGACGGGTGTCCCACACCCTGTGTGAGCAGTGGCTCTTGGAGCACGGGGAGGCTCAGCGTGGGGGTGCCCCCCATGCAGAGACCCCCAGGAGAGGGGTTGGAGCGCAGTGATGGAGGCAGGGACAGCATCCCAGTGGATGGAGGGCCCGGCTCGGGCCCGCCTCGGACGGCGGACACACACACCCCCCCGGGAATGAGTCCTCGCCGTGCCTGGAGGGGGACACATCAGATGTCACCGGGAGAGTGGGTGCAGCCCCGCTGGGCGCTGTGAGGATGAGGATGGTCAGGGCCCGCCCCCCCGGGCCGGCTCCTGCTAACAGGATGTGATGGGTGGGGGAAGCGCTGTCGCTTGGCATCTCCTGTCCGGGATCAGGGAAACGGAGCGGGGAGACGGCCCTGATGGGACTCGGGGACCTCAGCCTGCTCTCTCTCCTCGGGAAACACCAGCCCACCCCCTCCCCAGCATCAAACAGCCGCACCTCGTATCACAAATTAATTTATTCCCCTCCCACGGTTGTAAACAAGAAGCAGCCCCCTCCGCCCTCACCTCGGCCCCGAGAGGTCCCCATCCCGAGGGTTCCCCATCCTGAGGGATCCCCCATGCCAGGAGATCCCCATCCAGAGGGGCCCCATCACAAGAGGCCTCTTCACATCTATCTCCCCCCTCCATAATTCAAATCCAGCCCCAGTGCAAAGAAAGGCTTTGGCGGGGGGAAGCTCTCTGTGCCAGGAGGGGGGGTGGCAGCACCCAGAGGACCCCAAAACTGCTGGGTTTGGGGGTGCGGAGCCTCCGGCAGCCCCCTCCTCCCGAAGGCAGCGAGCACTAGAGGGCAGCAGGGCCCAGCGCTGGGCGGGAGGGAGGCACAGAAATCAAATTAAATAATAATTAAAAAAACAATAAATAAAGCGATGGATGGACAGCTGGGAGAAGGTGTGGGGGGGGAGGGTTTGAATCCCTCCTCCTCTGGCAATGAGTCTCTTCCCCCCTTCCCCAAACGTACAAAATATATTTTAACTATCTGAGGTAAATAATGAGGTTGTAAAAAAAAGCAAGATGGGGGTGAACGTTCCCGGTGTCGCCCCCCCTTAAAAAAATAAAGCATCGTAAATAGTTTTAAAGAAAATATGAGGATCTCCCCCCTCTCTCTCTCTGTCTCTCTCTCACACATAAATATAGATTATATTATGGGTAAAAAATACGCTTTTCTCTCCTGTACATTCAAAAAGTGGAAAAATAGAGGCCAAGAAGGGGTTGTGCCCGAAAAGGACGAGGCTGGGAAGAGCTGCCTGGTTCCAAGAGCTCCTGCAACCGTTGCCTCTGGGAGTGAGAAGGGGGAACAAAAGCGGATCCCCCGAGTGCAGCCGGTGAGTGGAAGGTGCAGGGAGGTGGTCGGGGGGGACACATCAGACGTCGCTGGGGGAGCGGGAGCGGAAGGGCGGCGCGGAGGAGAAGCAGCCGCAGCACACGGCCCACAGCACTTTCTGGATCTCCTGGTTCCTGAAGGCGTAGATGACGGGGTTGATCATGGAGTTGTAGGTGGCGGGGAGGAGGGTGGCGTAGGTGTAGAGGGCCGGGTAGGTGTAGTCCCCCAGCAGGCAGTAGACGGCGAAGGGCAGCCAGCAGGACGCGAAGGTGCCCAGGATGACGGCCAGGGTGGCGATGCCTTTCCTGGTGGTGACGTAGTGGGAGCTGGCCAGGAAGTGTCTCTGCACGGCGATCTGGTGGGCGTGCCGGCACACGATCCGGCAGATCTGCACGTACAGCTGGAGCATCGCCGCGAACACCGCGAAGAAGGACGCGGAGAGGATGATGAGGTGGTTCTTCGTCAGCGGCCTGACGACGCTGCAGGCGGGCGGCTCCTTCAGGCAGTTCCAGCCCATGACGGGCAGGAGCCCGTAGCAGATGGAGGCTCCCCAGGTGAGGATCAGCATGATGTAAGTCCTGGTGACCGTCCTCTCCGAGTAGTAGGTCAGGGCGTTGTAGAGGGACAGGTAGCGGTCGATGGTGATGGTCAGCAGGCTGCAGACGCTGGCCGTGAAGGAGGTGACCAGCAGCCCCACCGTGAGCAGGCTGACCGCCTCCGACGGCGCGAAGTAGACGAAGGCAAAGTGCAGGATCAACCCCAAACCCGCCAGGAGGTCGGCCGTGGCCAAGCTGCCGATGAGGAGGAACATGGGGGCGCGGAAGGCCGGCGTGTAGAAGATGACCACCACCACGATGGCGTTCTCGCAGGAGATGATGGTCCCGGAGACGCAGAGCACCACGTCCCACGGGTTCAGGGCCAGGGGTCGCACCACAGACTCCAGGTCCAGGGAGCTGCTGCTGCCATTCCTGGCAGAAAACCAGCCCTGCTGGCCTTCGCTGGAGTTGGGGGGCCCTTTCTCCATCATGGTGGCGGAGGGTGACCTGCTGCAGCTGAAAGCAAAAGCAGCCCCCTCAGCACCTGCTGCCCTCACGAGCCCTCCCTGTGCCACTCAGCTGGGGACAGTCCTGCTTCCCCCCAAAAGTTGTCTACAGCAGTGGGGACAGAGCTGTGTGTGTTTGAGGGGGGGGCTTGCTGTTTGCTCCAAGGGGATTTCTCGGGATGAGTGGTTTGGTTTTAAAATAAACAGGTGAATAAAGGGCAGGGGGACACTCACACGACACCCCTGCTCCTGCCTGCCTGGGGGTTGGGCACTGCATGATTTTGGTGGATAAATCCTGGGGGAGCAGGACTGGCACTGGAAACCCTTCCCCTTCCCCAGCAAATACTTCAAGGCCAAACCGAGGGTATCTCAAGCAGCAGGTGAAAGGGGTAACCCTTCCCCCCCCAGACCAGCACCCCAGC